CACCCGTCCGGATTACTATATCCGTCCTTCTTGCCGAAGAAAGTAGTCGTGACAGATCTTGGTAAAACTAGTCCTTCTCAGTCTCAGAACTGCTATCTGTTGGGGCGTATTCTGATATGACAAGCAAACACCGTTTACCACATCGACCTAAGTTAATCTTAATTGAGCCAGGCAACCGCAGAGCGCAAAGGCGACTGTTTACTGGGATACAGTCCAGTAAGGCGCTTTGAACCTTGGGACTGAGTGCAACTCCCACACCTTAGATACCACGTGCCATTGCCTCAGGATTACTGGATGATACTTCCCGGTTGCCCAGGCCGATGTAGGGGTTTAGTTGAGATGCCCAACCTTCAGCCTTTGACTGAGCAGTCTAACCCACAAGTCAGAAAAAGGACTTAGAGTCTTTTTGGGGGCGTGGCTCCTTTCCTCTGATTCAAAAATCTGGACCGCGAGGCAGTGGTTGCTAGGTTTTTCTCGGAGGATCCTTCCCTGAGCCAATGACTCAAATTTTCTGACTTAATTGCCTGTATGGGACGGGCGTGTCTCGAGGGTACAGGGAGCAGGAAGCTATTTTCTCACTCCTGATGCGGCTGCGCGCAGCAGGTGCCTTTTGAGCAACACGGGACCCTGGTTTTGAAAGTATTTCGACCATACTGAACATTGCGCCGGCGGGTACGGTCAAGCGATCGGAGTGTGCGGTTTTCGGGGCCGATTTTTCTAACCCGTTCTTCCTCGAGGGAAGGCAGCATCGCTGCTTCCATAAATATGGACATGCTGGTCGCCTGGGGAAACACCTCACTGCCTTCTCACTCCTGTCGCGGAGGACAGTACGCGTTCACCCCCAGACCGGCTGGTAGCACGATTACTCGTAGTGCGGGGTCTCGCTGTTCTTGGTCTGGCTGCTCCCCTTCGGCTTTCTTGGCAGTGTTGCACCTTGTGCGACGACATTCTAGGCAGTGTAGCGGCACTCAAGTCCGTCACGTCAAGGTGGCAGCTATAGGTCGGGACACAGTAATTTTACCAGCGTAGGTGGATGTCTTTCACATATTCGGCTCTGATCATATTGCTTACCGTTCGTTGGAAACACGTAACCCCATTTGTCACTTTGAAAGGAACGCGCCCAAATTGCTATCGCTTACTTAATGTATGCGGGCGATATTGCTCTCTCGTTGAGCTCTAGCACACTTCCGGTGCGCAACTGCTATGCTACCCGAAGGTAGCACGAGAACTGAGATACTGCCAGGCTGCGCAGGTTGAGGAGTCGAGATGCAGAGGTCGGGTTCGTACAGTAAATTCGCGCTCTAACCACTGGGCCATCTTTAGGTGCCGCTCTCCAAACGGCTATCTAGAAAATCTGCTCAGAAAGTGAGCACGGACGCTGGTGGCACCTGTTCGCCGCCATGTTATGCAGTGAAGCACAGGGAGGATCACATGAACCCTATCCCGGAAAGTAGATGGCACGGACTCAATCAAGACTTTTTGTAATCTGCATTTCTCATGGCCCAATCTGTTTTGGGCATCATGAACTCTTAGTCCCTGTTCTGTTCAGGAGGTCGCATTGCTTTATGTTGCTGCTAGAGGCTTATCATCGAGCCAGTGTCTGAATAATTGTGGGAGTAGTTCCTGTGCCATGGACTTTTCACGTCATTTCATCTGTCTTCTTACTATAGTGTCCCTGGGAGACGCGAGCTGGGGCACTTAACCTGCGAAAATTTCTCTCAGTGGAGTGCTAGAATATCTCCACAATTCACGCCGGAAGTCAAGCTGAGCGCTGTGATAGGCTACGTAGACATTGTCCGGCGTTTATCTACTCGCTTCAATATGGGGTTGGAATCCATGATTAGAATTAACCCAAATGACTATCATTCCTGACCAGTCATTACTCCTAACATGAATAGGATTGTATTAGACCTAAGCCCAGCCACCAAGAAATCTCTTAGTTCCTAGAATTTATGTCTCCAGTGAATATAACGATTCTTTAGTAAGTAACCCCCCTAACTGTCTTGTTTCAGTTCATTTCATCCTCCCACACAGCCATCAAATCGCTCAATCAGACCTAACTTTCTTAACCGTTTATAGACTCGTAAACTTGGCATCAATGTATGATATCCTTAAGAAGAACCTCGACTGAAACGCTACTACGACATCTCTAACCATATGGCGATGCCACGCTTCCATACCTTTTTTATCAGTCAACTGCATTAAAACGGTGCGCTTCTGGCAAGCTTAAGCAAACTTAGTCTGATGATGGGGTAAGTCCCCTCTCTGCTGGTGACCTCCCATGAATAGTTTAACTCGGGACTTTTCTGTGAGAATCTCTGATATCTGTCCGGAGGCAAGTCGCTCGGAATAATCCGGCGTCATGTGATCGCCGTTTTGGAGGATTCTCCCAGCAGCTTGCAACACCGCATCGTCATCATCATCAAAGACAGCAACATCACTGTTGACACTGATGATTCACTGCCGTACCACATCGTATTCATGATCCTCGCCTCTCTCCACAATTCCGCGATCGAGCAGAGCGATCCACTGCCATCCAGAAGGTCATGGGGAAGCCGTCGGTAAAAGCGACATAGAAGTTCCATAGATGTCAGAAGACGCTGAGTCGAGGATGTCGTAAACGCCATTAACGGTAGACATCTGGTTGCATATTAAGCCAAGCATGCAATGTAAGTCGGATCTCCGGGTGCGACTGCGTCACACGAATCTACTTCGAGCAGTAGATTTTGGCTCTGCAATGAAATCGCCATGGTCTTTGCATCACAAGCGACATCGAATGACCTCGAACCACCTGCGGGGTCGAGGGCATATCCAGTGATCTGTCAAACAGATAGATCAGCACCCTCACCAAATCGGCGACTGTCTGACAGACGATAGCAGCCTTACGAGCCTATGCAAGTCAACCTTAAGTCAAGGTAGGACGGGTGACATCTTCAAGTGGGGTGCTGGGAGAACGAATATCACGATGATTGGACGGGCGCTTGGCGGACCGGCTATGGGTGAAATGTAGTCCCTTATGAAGCAGAAGCTAGAGTAATCAGAAACGAGCGTTTTCAGCTCGTCACTCCTCGCCCCATCCCGAAGATTCTGTCATGACTGTGTGGAAGACTTATGACCACTGCATACTTACGGCCGTAGTAATCTTTCTTTGTCTTCATTGAATGCCGTCTCAAGCTGAAGTGCTTTTGGATATATCAGAATGGGTGAAACAGCAAGCCGAAGACCAGTATAGGAGCTGGGGAACTTTACAGGTATCTTGGAATCATCACAAAATATGGATTTTGGAAAACAAGGACTAAAGGAAACTGCGTGGAATGGTTCAAGTGTTGGGATGCGAGCTGTTAACTAGGGATTCCCTAGCTCAGACGAAAATCCTGAAATCGGGATCGTTCCTGTGAATGCTCTAATTGACCGGGATTATCTCAGACCTCGTGCTGTTTTGGGGTTGCGTAGAAATCACGAACCAATGGAATACCGCAGTGGGCCGGTTTGATTATGGTAAGGATGGAAAATACTCCTTTTCCTTTGTCGACCTTTTAGTATTTGTTGCGTATATCCATATGTTAACGTGGTTTACCTTCGGACAACAGAACCTCCCCCCCCCTCCGGAAAAAATAGAAAATATTTTAGTGCATGGCTTCTCGGAATTTTTGGTTATGAGGCTTAGGTATACCTTCACCCTCTCCCATCGAATAAAAACTACCCCTCACAGTTGTCCTGTTGTCGAACTATTTCCCCATTCAACCATATCAGGCCCCCCCCCCCCTCCGGAAAAAAATAGAAAATTTTAGTGCATGGCTTCTCGGAATTTTTGGTTATGAGGCTTAGGTATACCTTCACCCTCTCCCATCGAATAAAAACTACCCCTCACAGTTGTCCTGTTGTCGAACTATTTCACCATTCAACCATATCAGGGACCATGGTTATGATTCTTTCAGTGAATTTGTTCGTTCGGGGTGGTAGTGATAGGCTTGTTTATCCTTTGTCAAGTATAGCCACGTGTAACTGTTCTTTATTTCATACGTTCAGTACCTGTGCCAGAACTCGGTTTCCGAATCAAGATGCATTTGTTTTATAGCCTGGTATAGTTTGTCAACGTGTCTTGGTCACACAATGGACCGCGTGTTCGAGCGCTTTCATAAAATGATGGAGGATATGGTGTTCTCGGGGTTTTTCGATCGTGAGTTCACTACGTGGCATAGTTTCCCTCTGCTTCCTGGTCTAGACGCACCAGTCACCGACTCCCCGCGAGATGAAATGCTTCGTGAACCGGTACTCCTCGTAATTCTTGTGTGACCTAGACTTTTTTGTAGGAGGGAGAATCCCGTGAACTTCCGGATCCAGAACCATGGACACCCTTCCCCTTCTATGGTGATCTTGTTAAACCGGATATGATGGACAGGGAATTCTTTACAGAAACACAGGTAGAGTGATCAATGACAATTTTCCTCATGTTTTCTGTATTTCATGGTTATGATTCGCTGTTTCAATGTTCTAAACTTGCCATGTGGCTAGTATCCTGGACAGTACTCTTGATATCAAATCTTTCCCCTAGGTATCTCAACCGCCTCACAACACAGCTTTTAGATTTGTGAAAACAGAACATCCAACACAGTAGCCAACAGTCTTCCAATGAAAATCGATGAATACATGTTATGGTGCTCAGAGTCTTGAATTGTTTATAAAGTCGGAACGACTATTCAACCGAACCGGCAATCGCCTTGGTGAGTTCACAGCTTCAAATGTGAAGGCTCTACCACGAGTGCTTCTCAGAAAAAGAAAAGCCTTCAGCTGTAGCACCCTTCCGGTGCCTAGCTGCCATTCCATCCGAAGGAAGCACGAGGGCTGGGATACTGCCAGGTTGCCCAAGCCTAGACAGGGGAAGTCGAGTGGCGGAGGTCGGATTCGAACCACGGACCTTCTGGTCAGTAAATTTGCGCTCTAACCACTTGGGCCATCTCGCCCCCAACAGACCGGTAGGTGGTGATATCGAGGTTGGCAACTCCATAGGAGCTATGTTCATTCTGTGATTGTTCACGGATGTTGTCAAACGTAGGAAATGCTGGATTCCCTGCGGGGGATCAGATGTGGTTCGTCACTGTTTTGCCCTGAACGAAGACAAAGATCTCTTAATATGCGATTAGGTGATTGATTGGGACCTTATTCCTTCAAGTCTCTATTTTCCTTCGAATGTGTTCCAAAACTGAAGGTATCGGGGGCCAATCTAGGAAAGAAGGCCCTTGTATCAGTCCAAGCAAGCTTCTCCACAAGTCATGCCGAGTCAACGATAGATCTTTGCGTACGTGGGAGTGAATTTCAGCGGTCACCGTTTAAAATGATATACCATATAAACGTGAACAACAAGGCGCAACATATTAGAGGTAAAATTATAGTGAGAGCTGCACTTGAAGGCTTAGCTAGTACTACATGCCAAATGTGATCCAAGAGTTTCGCGATACCTGGTCGTTCTGGAGAAATATCCCATACGGTCCCGACGAATTGTCAAAGGTCAAGGGAAAGTGAGCGTGCGCGCCGACCGTGAAGTCTAGTTGATACGGAAAGCTGAGGAGAACGAAGAAGCCCAGAAAGCCGGGAATGCCCGATGATTATTTGGATTGATCCATGCGAATGGACCCCGGAAGCCAACTGTGAGCGAAATCATCAAGGATCAGAATGCAGCAACCATCTTGAATAAAGAAGAACGTCTCGACCGGTGGGCTGAACACTTCCCGCAACATTTATCGTGGCCACCAGCTGCCACGATTGTGATTGAATGGGTTACTCTGTCGACGCGCGCCTTACCTGTGATATATTAAAGGTGTAACGGCGGTGAAGATAAACACTGCGATTAGTACCCAAATCCTCCTAGTTCTCCAGGTTAACCGCACAGTTGATCGAAATAATTCAGACTGACATCTGTGTCCTCTGGCCTCTCCTTGCTACGCCATGTCCATGGTCGTTGTGACTTCTGCCTTGCCGCTTCACATGCAGTATTTTGTTTCAGTTGGCTTCAGTGGGTGAACGAAATATGAGCGTCTGAGTTTGAAAGCACCATGTAAACTTTCCATCTGAGATACGGTGTGAAATGGTGACTCAGGGTGTTTTTTGGGAAAATACCACCATCTAGCTGATACAAACCATGTATGTCCTATGTAAGTTACGAGGCTGTTTCTTCATTCGCCAGACAAACACAAGTACAAACTACTAGAGCCTTTCGTTCAGTTGTCTCAGTCTTACTCTGTAGCATCGCCGGACGGGACCATAACGTTAATGTCGTTAGAAATTTCCACCCCAATTGTGCCCACAACATATCCTAACACTGAACCGAAGACAACACTCAGCCATTACCAAGTATTACGCAACATTCGATGGGGAATTCGAAATTTTTACGGCACGTCAAAGAAATGATTGCACACATTCGCAAACAGCCAACTACTGGCCTCACCTTGCTTATCAGGTAGACCTAGTCTCCGGAAGTTGTGGTAGTCAATTCCTGACTTGAGCAGCAATTTGATCAAATGTTTACTTTTGAGCTCATGTGTATGGTGAAATTGCTGGGGCTGGTGACCCGATGGGGTCCCTCGTAAATGACAGTGCATCAATATTCTTTGCAGTACACAAGAGATCCGTTACGAAGAGATTCTGGGGAGTCTGCTTTACTTCTGAACTAAGTAGTATGGGACCAACAAATCAACTTTTACCGTCACTTCAAACCTAAGCAAATTCCTGTGCTCATGCTAAGGGTAGGGTAGCTGCAACTATTGAAAGCGGTTGCTGTGGAGTTGAAAACCATCATTCCTTCGACTAAGTCACCCAGGAATAACGACCAGTTCTAGTTACTTATGAAAAGCGTTCAATTCGCAAGTACAAAGTTACCCTGCTTCAATCAAAACGCCATGGACCGCACTTTTGGAGCGGTTTCTTTTTAAAAATGATCACTATTATTTGGCATATTTATATACCTGATTTGTACTATCGCTGTGTTTCGATAAACTCGATTTCTTCAGTGTAGTAAGTATTGGAGACTGATAGCCATCACAGACAGCGCGCAGCATACCACAACGACAACAGTCAGCAGAGCCTTTCTCGAACTGTGCGTGCATCATTTGGCTTGACAATAAGGCGTAACTACTCGGGCTGGTTCGCATCGCCCAAACGCGCATGCGTTTGTGCGTCGAAATTGCATGCTCTAGCCGGTGGCTTGAACTAGGATAGCTGTAGTCGATCAGTCGTAGTTTCGCCTGCTGCATTACTGATCTGTGTTTCAAATCTGATGGCGTGAAACTACAGCTACTGGCTAGGATTTTAGAGTTTTCATATTCATTCCGTTTTCCATCTGTTGGTGCTATTTTCTTTTACTCGAAGTAATATCAGAAGGTGAAATAACAGTTATGTATAGCGGTTACCAGAGACACTAGTGCAACCGAATAATACACAAAAGAAAATAAGAGACTTATCGAGTTCTTCGTTTGATAAGTTGTAGTAGACGCAGCCGAGGTTTGTAGGACGCAGTGGAATCGAATGCGGGTCTTGACGGAGTGTGTTGAAATCTGGCCTGCTTCTTGTCGTTTTATTCAAAACGATATCGAGTCCAGACTTTTCCTGCACAGTGAGTCGTGCGTAGGTTTGAACTGACCCTGGTCAAGGCGCTGTGTGAAGTGACGAGCGTCGGCATCCTGCTGTCTTCCGCTTATGTATAAGTTTACGTTGTGAATGAGGATGCGCTTACGTTGTTTGTCTTAAGATAAGATTCCAATCGTCTCGATTAGTCGTGGGGCGCATGTTCATGACATAATCAGAACAGGAGTGATACAGTGGGTGTGCATGCGTTAAACAGATTATGTGAGTGGATGAAGGTAAGCATTGCTGAAATAGTAACCAAACTATGAAAGCGGTTGAAGATGAACGTTGAAGGGATGGTAACCAATACATCCAATATTGGAAAAAAGGATCAGCAGCTCGGTAAATTTTGGTAAAAAAAGAATCATGTGTTCCCTACCGAGCCTGTCTGCTGTTTCTCAGAGTTGGAATATGTCAAAAGCACTTGAAATCCTGCCTCGATTGTGTGGAAATTTGAGACTTTCAACATCGAACTATATGATCTGCGGTCAACAATGATTACGTCATCGTCTTAGTGCTATCTCGGTTCACTCAATTCTTATAATTCAGCAGCCTTTTGCTGTTGTTTCCCATTGACAAATCTTCAGTTCTGGTGACCTCATGAACCTGCGATTTCCAAATTATATGTTTCGATTGTTTCCTTCTTTAGTCTGGGCTGTGTGCTACTCGTTCTTAGTTGTTTCACAGTCTACTGCGCTGGACTATATTCATTCTGGTTTTTGACTGCTTTGGATTCCTCTTATAAAAATAACTTCGCCAACTTTATCGATCGCGCTCCTTTCTTTCTGTCAGTTGCACTTTAAATGCGAACAGATACTAATGTTCAGCCGGCTGCGGGAGGTTGCATTGTTGGTGAATTCAGCGTCACAATAAGGGTGGCTTCCACTTCTTTACTACACATCCTGAAAACCCCTCGAATGAGTTATTTTCCGTTACTTGGTCCCCTACCCAGCTTGTTTGCCCTCCACTCCGAGTGCCTAACGGGGATTACTAGACTGATTAAACCCTTGGTATTTTCACTCCCTTCCATCCGTCAGTTTGCACTAGAAATGCTTCTGCGCTCTTGATTACTTGGAGTGTTATCTTTTTCCCACTCACTTTATCTTGAAAACTATCAACAGGGAAGGCAGGTCTTTTTCGTCACCATTCCACGAGTATTTTCAGTCTCTTCTTAGTATACTCTTGTCCCTCCGAAAATTCACCATCATTTTCCGACTAGTTTACGAAAACTCGTTGTAACGGCATGAGCCTGTTTCTTCCCCGTTGGTTTAAACCAGGAGACAGCCATCTGACTAGTTTCATCATGTCTGCCTGTGGATGATGAAGTACAAAGACACTGTATGGGCGCCAGAGGATACCTCCCTGTCCTTCGACACTGAAGTCCATGATCGACAATGCAGTTCAACCACCGAAAGCTATAAATGGTCGCTTTGGCGTTTGGTTAAAGCAGTCAGTTGCTAATTTTGCGCTTCCTCGTTCCCCCATCCTTGTCGTGTCTGAGGTTCCCAAGTGCCTCCTGTAGGAAAAGACAGATTTCTGCTTAAATTTTCACTTCCGCCCCTTCCTCCCCGTTATTCTTCATGGTTATACCCAGCTTCTCCTCAGTAATCGCTGGGGGGGGGGACTTCCGCCCTCCTCAGTTGGTACTTAACATTTCGATATCGCATGGTTCAGATAGCACCCCTCCTGTTTTGTTCGGTTCTTCTGAGCTTACCCTATTCGTGTCAAAACGGCGTGTATGCACGTCTAGTGGTTCTCATTCTTTCGTTCTGTAACTTTATTTGTGCCTCCAATTTTTTCAACGTGCCTTCTACGGTTCCCCTACTATCCAACAGCCCACTTTGGTTGTCGCATTTTGTTCACAGTCGCTGAATCGACTTTGACAAGAGCACGAATAAAATATCCATTTGACTAGCTACCGGACTGAGTTTTGTCCACCGTTCGACAGCTTGTGTTTCGAACTTTTTTGGGTTCTTGCCAAAATGAACTTTCTTTTTTATATGTCGGAGATGTTTGATAGTCTTATCTTCTTACCAAGTTTCCCTTTTACGAGTTGCATTATTTGGTTTGGGAACGTCCTGTGTCCCGCTCCATGCAGGTATAAATGAACAGTGATGTCCCCCTGGCCCAGAACTCTGACGCTGGAGTTATTCAACCACCCAAGTTCCCACCACTTCTCCTTGTTGTGTGGACGATCTCTCATCCTCTATCCCCTCTTATCCATGCCATTGCAGACAACGCCACTTTGCACACTTCATCCTAGCGGTTTGATTGTGAGATGTACAAAGCGTCGTTGCTCTATTCACCCACCCTGTCATCTGCGAATTAGGTTTGTCCGGTGTATCAACGTTCAACGCTTCCAACTCCCATGTATCCGCCTACCAGTGTTGTTCCATTCCCGATTTTGGCCTTGACACTGGAGCCATCAATCCGTGCTCATCTTTGTTCACCCTTACTGGTCCTTACACTTCAGGCCTCGTGATGCGAGCATCTGAGACCCCTATTTTGTTACTTTGGACACCCCCAGATTTCACTTCAGCTCAAATATTTCCGAATTCGCCCTACCATGTTACGTTTAAAGTATGCCAGTGGCCTTCAAGTGTAGTGTAGCGTCATTCACTTCATTTTAAAGTTAGGTTCACGGGGAATGTTCATACATACTTGCATCTTCCTTCGTGAGCAAAACGGTTGAGCAAATCGTCCCTTCTGATTCGCTCACTCCTATCAAGTTACTACTGCACACCGTAGAACTGAACCCCTTCTCCCAAAAACACCCCTTTGTTGAAAGTTTTTTTTTAAGTTGTGGTCTTTCCCAATTCCAGCATTCGTTCTATGTTCACCTTAGGCCTCGTGTTACTTCCTGTTATTATTTTTTTTCGCTTCTACGAGATCGTTGGTTTTCTTACTATGCAAATCAGATTGTGTGATGGAGGAGCTAATCAACCGATGTAAGTCTTGTTTCCCTCTTATTGTTCCCAAAGAACTATCTGTTATCTAACAGGTGTTTATTCCTTGGCCTCAAGTTACACTTCATGAAGCGTAAACTAAAGGCATCTTAGATATTGCAAGTCGGCTCTACTGACCTGTTAGAGAATGAGTAAAATAATGTTAAGTCAATTATTATGAGATAGATATTTTGTATTCCTGTTCAAACCTACCAACACGTTCAACCAGCCGTTGTCTCCAGCGCCTTTTCTACGTATTGGTTCACTCGCTTGTATCGGATATTTTTTCTCCAGCGCCGTCGCCACATGCCTTCTCAACCGAAGAAAGATATCATTCTGGACGAAGGTGCTCCAGTCGATGATCTTTTAGCTCCCGGACCGTCTACGCAAGTCCACAGATGGTCTCAGTCTTTCAGTCGAAGAATGACTATCGGACCAGATGGAGTGAGTTTTTCATTGTTCGCTAGTCAGCTGTTATGCAACGGTCACGCTGAAAGCTTTCACCTGTCAGGTGACAGCTTTGTTGTTTCGCAACCCAGTTATCAGTCCTGATTAGTATAATACCGAATAACAAATAATTTCGAATAGTCACTTACGTGTTTACGGAAGAAGTTGAATCGACAGAAAACAGCTTCATCCTCTTTCAGCTGAACCAGCAAATCACCATAGTTCTCTCAAATTATCTATACACGTTTTGGTCCGGGGCCCATTAGCCGCGCAATCCCCTTAGCTGTAAAATCTTGACGAGTGAAGTAAAACCTTTTGCGCCAAAATGTTGCAATTTGTTGCGTATTCGCTCAAACCAAATACCATCTTAATCTACTTTCATATGTTTGCGGCTGACCAAATTTGATTGTCCACTGAAGCAATCATACTTGTGGAGGAAAAGTCTGATGTAGTAACTTCCCAGCATCTCTAAGATCTCGAGATGCCTGAATGGGGCTCAGAAATTTGGACTGGTACTCTGAATTCAATTGCCCGATTGCTTTAGTCCATCAGGGACACGTCATAACTTTCGAAAATTCAATTCTATTGTGCAAATGCTGAGCGCCGTGTCTAGATCTATGGTATTTTCGCATTTACATATCCACGATTTTCCTTAGTGTCATAGAATTGCTGTTGATTCATCTGCTTGAAAGTTGTGAGAGCTTCAATAGCTGTGCGACTAGGCCAACCCACTCCGCAGAGCAGAAGAAAACTGTGCAACTGATGCACCATTATTGTGAACCACCAAAAGTGCTCTCCTTCTCATTTCAAAGGCTGATTCTGATTCGAAACAGCCTAGGTAGAAGTTAACAACACAGCTAATCAGCAATGTGAACGAATCGCGTCGATCACGTGCTTAGTTGCGTGAACAGCGAGCCAATGAAGTTATCTGCTCATCAGAAAGCCACTCATCAGATGAACCATTGATATGAGATTAATGCATCACCTGTGTCAGAACCTTTTATGCGCCCTTAGCGTCCGGAAAGCAGCAACCAGCAGAAATAAGTGAATGTGAGTACTCCATGAACAGGTAACACCCCAACTAAACGACATCCAAATCACGTAACTCCACAAAGCCCACATACTTAAACACGCTAACCCCAACCTTCTAACAACTAATGTCACAAATTTGCCAATCAGGTAGCTGGTCGGAAGAATTGGTATGCCTGTTTCGTGTTCATTCACTTCTGGAAGAAGACTGATTTCCGAGAAGTCAGGATATCACAGTACTCTTATTTAGTGCTGCAAGATTCTTTGGGCAACCTAGGTCTAACAGTTCAACCCTCTTCCAGTTAGTCGGTCTTCCTAAGGAATTCACTGCATAATCTTATGTGAGCTACATGGAAAAATTCCGGAACAGATGTGTAAGATGCCCGCTTACCATCTGGTATGCTTGGTCAGAAGACTACTGCTGTCCACCGACATTTCTCAAGGCATGTTTACACAGTCGCGGTAACAAATGGAGTGGTAGGATTTGGTCTGCCTTCTGCTACAATACCGGATTACTGTTAGCCCATGTGAAGAGAAGACAACTCTTGGACAACAAACTATTTTTTAAGTGAGTGAAAACGCAAGGTTACCCGAAAAGGGATGCACGGATCAGTTGACTGTTAGGGTCACTTATGCCGGTAGATGACGATTTCATTGTCATTTATACGAACGTCTTAAGCTACGGCGCCATCTCCCCAAACTTATCCGATTTTAGACCGCTTCCCTGTTTTGAACACTTTACCTGTTTGTTCAGCACCCAAAATCTTAGGAAATTCACAGCAATTCTTCACCAAGCTTTCCGTATAAATTAGTCACCAGGCTGAACGAGATTTATCGTAAAAGCACTAGCTAAAGGCACTGGGTAGATGGGCGCATCTGTTGGAATAGAGTCGTCAGTGACAAGGCCAACTGCGACTTCAAAAAAAGCACGCAAATATCATGCTCTACTGCCTTAGAGTGAAAAGAATTGGAAAGAGTAGATGAGGGATGGGACCTGGTGCTGGCCTATCGCAAGTGCTCAGTCAGACACCGCAGTTGATGGTGTTGGATGTTTTCCGAGATTGAGGTGCCCGGTATATGACCAACTACCCATTTTCTAATTACCTCGTTACGTATCCTTTGACGCCATCCGAAAGCAGCAACGTTTCTGAGGCATGGATGCTAAAAAACCCGAAGATGCTTCGTATTTCATGTCTACAGAAACTGTTTCGCAAGCATACAGTGATACCTGTAGCCGGGTACACGCGGTCCTTGAGACCCAGTGATAGGCCTTTTTGGCGCAACAACCGACGCAAATTAGAAAACGTAATTCGGACTCTTGAGAACGTGCACCGACTTCGTCAGACACGCTTCCGTCAGAGCTAATACAACTACCAGGTATGTAAAATTTTCCACAACTCCCAGTGATTGTCCTTGAATTGTAGGGAGTATGCTCAGAGACTTACTTCGCACTTTGGAGGTCCAAGACACATGCCGAGTTTTGCGCACGGTTCTCGCTGAAACTTCACTGATAAGCTTATCAACTGAGGAGAGTACTGTAGTTTACGCGATCTCACTTTTCAGCTGACACTTAAGTAACTATAACGTTGTATGGGTGGAGTTGTGTGACATGTAATTCACTATCGAATTCGCGCTCTAGTCTTCTGCTGCAGTGACTTGACAGTGCCCCATTATGTTCGACTGACGTAAAAATGTCTTCAGAAGACCGTGTCGTAGATCTGGTGTATTCAGAGAAACAGGTACGCACACACTACATGAGTGAATAAACAATATGTAAATGAGTCCGGATAAAGGATGGCGAAAACTATTTTCATGTCTTCCTGCTTCAGCGTTGCGGTGTCTCCGCCCGGTTTGGTCAACGATTTTCGATTACCTTAATTATACAAAGTTTCAACGCACATTTTCCGTTTATTTTTGTGTAGAAAGTGATTGAGTCGGAAACCCGAGTTGTGCAGGAACCTGACGGCACAAAAGTTCGAACAACCGTAGAGCGATCACCACAGGGTGAACGCAAACGCATCGTACGACAGAAACCGTCAGGTGAAGAGGAAGTGGAAGAAGTCGACACAAATTGTGAGTCTTTGTCACGTTTATATCATACTCATCCTTGTTCATACTTCTTCCCATAATTGATTGGAAGCTATCTTGCCCTAACCGCTGGTTGATTCCGAAACTTTTGTCCCACGAGCAATCATCATCATGGCATGGCATCAGTGTTCAACACCGATGCTTCGCTGCCGTACAACCATGATTTATTTGAAATCCTTACTGTGAAGAAAAGAATAAAGGTGAATGGGGAAGTAACTTAGCGCTAGCCTACACCTCCAAACACTCATTTAGGCAATCTGGATAGAAACTGACAACAAGAACGCCGCTGGCATCGGTTGTCGGTCATATCTCCCCATTCTGGATGACGATTGGTACCGACAACAGCCAAGCGTTTCGTGATCTCCTTCATGCTCCTCTGCCAACTCAAGGGTTGGTCACCTCTATGTTTACGCCATTCTGAGTTGGGCATGGAAAACAGCACTCTCTTCGGCAAACGATGGTTCGGCATACGCAACACATGTTCCAACCAACCCAGCTTCTGGTGCTGGACACATTCTTCAGTGGAATTACTCGTTGCACAACCGAAAACTCCATCTCTAGTTGCATCGTCACGGATTCGCCGAAACCAACCCACACGAACTGTGGTTCTGAGACAACAGAACCACTCGATGTACTACAGACTGCACTGACTCAACATTACAAGGAGGAAGCTTGTAGACGCAGTTTGCTCACGGTAATGCTTGGATAACCTTGGAGCTTACTGAGTCATACGTTGTCACCAGTTTGCCCCGCTTTAGGTTCACGGCGGATTCTGTGCCCTTGAGGAGGTCTGCTCCCAAGACTGCTGTGCGTCTGAGCTGATCCGATATTCGTGGTGTACCGAACTGTTACCTAGTCGGTTTCCACCCACTGCACTCACGGTTTGCATTCAGCTTCGTTCCCTCTCTATCTGTGACACCCCTACCTCTGTATCGATTAAGCATAGGTTCTTTCGAACGTGCCTCTGCAGTTCTGTTTTCATTGCGGTGAGCTGCTCGGTTAGTCGTTGCACTTGAGTCTGCAGGACCTCCACTGTTGATTCATCCCTCTTCAACGTGGCCGATGGCGCCTCGGCCAATTCCTGTACCAGCTCCTCCACGCTCAACTGGCCGGTTGCTCTCCCAACTGCAAGTGGGCACCAAACGCCGACTGCACATCTTCGATATACTGGTAAGGCAGCAATCGCTGGTGCGACACTTCCAGTTCTGGCAATGTATGATCCAATCACTGTTTCAAGCTGGCAGAGAACACGGTTGGATCGCACCGTGGTCCCGTCCTGTCCGCCTTGAACCGCCTCATAGCCCCTGGCGGTTGGGTAGCGTGCTGAACTTCGCAGCACAGAGCTTTCCTTCTTTCATTTGAAACCGTACAAAGGCACTCCAGACCCTATATTGTTTTCCGCCCCCCGCCTTACGACAGCTTGAATCGTATCCCTCAGCTTAAGAAACTCATCCTTTTTATTTCGTCTATAGGAATCTAGAAGATGGGAATAGATTTAAGCCCGATTTGTTCGTAGGGTCACTCACTCATTTGACTGCGTACTGACGATATTTCCTGTAACTGTGACGACGTGGTTGCAGACCAATTACCAAGCTTGGCGGCTACCTGGTCAAAGGCGTCATTTTTTCAAAAAAAAAGATGGCCCAGTGCGTGGGTGGGGAAGGAGGGCGAGACGGCTTAGTGGTAAAGCACGAATTTGCTGACCAGATGGTCCGTGTTTCGAACCCGGCCTCCGCACCTCGACTCCTCTTGTCTAGGCTTGGGCAACCTGGTAGTATCCCAGCCCACGTGCTTCCTTCGGGTGGTATGGAAGCTAGACACCGAAAGGGTGTTGCAGCTGAACGATTTATTTCGTTCATATATAGTTGAAAATGATTGATAAGCGTTTCGATGTGAGCTTTCTACCGGGCACGTATCTAGGTAGCCTGGAACACTAACACTGAGCGAGGTTGACAACTATACCTTGCAACTCTCCTATCCGGATGTGCAGGGTTCGTAAACCTACTTTGAAAGGCTTGTTTTCGTCGACGGCCCCGAGGCTCCTAATCCTCACCTTTATCTTTTGTTTAGTAAAGGTTTATGCAACATCTATAGATAGCCGGTGGTCAAACATATCCATATAAGAAACATGAGTCATGTGTGCACCACTTGATGACGTGTTCGCCGGTCATTTGCTTCCAGATATAGGACACCCCCCCCCCCCCATGGTGGACGAGTTCTAAGCTTATGCATTCTTCACATCTGATTGGGTCTGCAATTTCTAAGTCAGTATCTACCGCCGATCAGAGGAAGTTTAGGCGTTTTTACCTTGACTGTTTGATTTTGACAGAGCACGATTAACGGAATGTCGCACTGCATAGTTCGAGTTACTTCGAGAATTGAAGAGCATATATCATTCTACTTAGTATCAAAAGGGAATACACAACACAGGTTTACTATAGATCGGTTCATGCACCTTACTGATAAACTGAGTTCATCGGTTCTTCTGGAGGCAATCTCTAAACTAAGCGATGTAAACGGCAGTGAAGCATCGGTGTTAAACACTGATGTCATGCTGTCGGTGATGATGATGTAAACTCACTTCCATCGTCAGCCTATCCTGGAAACAAGTACCTTTTCTCACTTGTCTAATAATTGAAGCCACTTTAAACTGTCCGAAACGAACGACTAATACCTTTCACTGCCGAGGGAGCTGTGTTTTTGAGCTGGGTGGTCCTGTTCATTGCATTATGTGCACATACCCGCTGAAATGTTGGTTAGTCAGGATGTTTCTAACCTCAGTTGACCCTTTTCGTTTCTTTCACTGCAGTCGTCAGCCCAAATATGATAATGCCACCATCATCACCGCCAGATCAGAGCAGTCAACCAACTACGGATGGAAAATCATCAGGTATCTTCGACAAAATTCGTAGATGGTTTCAAGGTAGTGATCAGAAATAAACAACCGCCACAATCTATCAGCGTGATTTGTATAGTGTGCTGATCATTATGTTTACTCTTCAGATAACCTGTACCTTTCAGTTGAAAAACCCGTGATATTTTCACAACAAAATAACATTACAAGCCTTTTATTCATGATCTGTTATCTTTGGAGCGGAGCATAGTTAAGCAGCTTTTCAATGAGGTCCACATGCGACAAAAGCATCCGCCGACAACAGTATCGCTTCAAGCCGAGTGTGTCCAGCGCATCACCTTCAGCATATTCGGCTTGTAGTAATCCAATATAGCTTTCCCACTTGTCTCCGACCACTTTGCCACACGTGAAACAGCGGACGGGTATTATCATGATTCTGAAACAGAAAAGAAAAGCAACCATTAGTTTTCATGTCAAACGGTGGAAGGTGAAACCTTCCAAGCAGGCCAGGACGAACATACTGTTGAAACAGGTCATCAATTCGCTCTACAAAAGGATCCTACGACTAGCCGTCACTCGATTTAGGGTGAGTTCGGGATCCATTAATCGTTCCTTTGAGTCAAGCTCGTTAGGACAGTGGAATGACATCTCAGGTGACGGGATGCATTTTATCCATATCACTAGGTATTCGACCAAACCCGCTCGCGTTCCGTTTAATCTGGTGACACTAGCGTCGATCTCCATGGGTGGGTGTCAAAAACATTTGCTATTCCGGTCACTATGTGCAGTGCCAGAACTTCGGACAGACAGGTCGTTCGAGTGACAAGGACGCATGCATTCTAAGCTTCCTTATTTCAGTTTCGTGCGTTCATTGGGGCGAGATGACCCAAGTGGTTAGAGCGCAAATTTACTGACCAGAAGGTCCGTGGTTCGAATCCGACCTCCGCCACTCGACTTCCCCTGTCTAGGCTTGGGCAACCTGGCAGTATCCCAGTCCTCGTGCTTCCTGCGGGTGGCATGGCACCTGGGCACCGAAAGGGTGCTACAGGTGAACGCTTTTTTCTTTTTTTCCTAAACAGAAGTAACTGATGGACGGGCTAATACGAAACATCGATGGTAAGCTTGAACGGCAGGTTTAAACGAAATAGTAGGAAGGGTTTAAGCCAGTGAAGAACAAAAATGTGGAGCAGTCTGTGCTGGTTCGACCGTATTCTCATCCATGAGATTCCACAATAGTTTTTCAGTGCGTCCCATCGTTTTAAGGTCAGTAACCCAGATCAGCTTATTTCTTTCGGTGATCACACACACATGGGAACATTTCCTTGCAGCAGAAGTTATACCTCACACTCCACTTTCTCGATTTCATCATTCGTATTGAGTCTCCAGCAGAATACAAACATAATGGGTTGCTACGACCTGGTAGCCTCACGGGAATGGAGGTTCGCGGGAGATGGGTTCTGGAGCGACAATAGGGTGCTAGCCTCCGAGATCGCGACAGAACAAGCAGTCAGACCGAGGTCACATCAGCATCCATGGATCCGTTGAAGGAACGGTGTAGCAGTGGACTTTTGTCAATTTCAATTCATTTCCGAGGAACCGAATTTCCAGAACTGAAGGGAGGACAACCTCTGACTTCCTAAAAGGCTGATTAACTTCCCAGAAGCGATAACAGTGGAAATCCGAAACACCACTGATTTTGATTAAAAGCTGAACGGTGTTGTAAGATATGAGACCTTGGCACAAATTGAATTGACGTAGATGCTAACTAGGCTTCGGATAAGCACACGTTAGAGTTCGCTGAAAGATTTCAAAGCTGCATTAGGACGGTCATTCAATCAGTATCGGGTTACCAATGATACGCATTGTTCGCGTTGTTATATGATACAGCGTCCTGACATATAATCTTGTTACGCAGCTTCTATTCGACTTCGGCTGGATAGGAAGACCACTGTTTCCTGAGAATCCAAATAACGGAGCTAAAGGCCACCACCTAGTACGTCAGTCATGGAACAATCGCTTCAGAGAATCTGGAGAGTTGTACTCCATGCCCAGGAAGTTTGTCCGATGCAGCGTAATAGGAACGAAATTCCAGTACCACCCCTCAATAAGGCAACATTTTGGAAGTTGAGATAGTTCAGAACGAATTCGTTTGATCAATCAAGAATGGATGTGTCCATATCCGAACCAAATATTGATTGGTTGGGCAAAGCCGCAGAAACAATATACGGGGCCAAACAATAACCTACAAACAACGACAACCGTACTTTTAAACGCGTCATTAAAAACGACTCCGCCTGTGAAGCTATATAACAGCTCCCACTTGTGTGGAATATTTATCCACAAGTTCCACAGGAAGCGTTGTCGACACAAGGATTCGTCCCGAAGTTGCCCTTGCCTACTATTACTTCTAAAAAATGATACTGACTGAGGAACTCTGTTTACAATCATCCCAATCAAGTGAATGACCGTTAACGAACCTGCACGCCATGTTACTTTTGCCCGAAGGGCCTTACGCAGACAACTCAGTTCTCAGACAGACCAATAAAAACCAGTTGGTAGGTAGTCAAGTGTATTGACCTCCTTCATTGCAAATGGTTTGTATTCTTAGGGAAATCTTTAAAATAAGTCAAAAAACAAAAGGTGAGTAGGAGACTAGATTCAAATAGATGCTCCTCCTTGGAAGTGTAACAAAGGCCAGTGGGATGGCGACTATGGTGTGCGCCTGAAATCTGGTTGAAGTGTTGTGTCGTCAGGTGGCATTGTTTGGGGTTGCGTTGGCAATGTAGGTTGTGAACATGGATCCCCTTCTCGCTCACTGGTTGTATTCGGTGACTGTGGTTGAGTTTCCTGATCCTGTATGTCACCAATCACGTGCTCTCCGGATAATGATTCGTAAGGAGGTGGCTCAAAGGCGTCTCTAGGCATTGCCAATACGTCCTCGTACTTCGGAGGGAGACAGAGCTCCGCTGGTCCAATTCTAGCGGGTGAACTCGCCAGTCCACGGGATCCACGGAACAAAACTATGATTCTTCCTGTACCTGGGAGGCGCGGAAGAATGTCAAGAGAAAGTACACAGGTTACCAAGAATAGTTGGGAACGGATGAGGCAAAAATGAAGATTATTGTTTCCTAAAAATACACAGGGTAGTCGAAACAGCGGAGGATCCTAATGGCGAATCTTCTCCCTCATCCGTATCAAGGTGGTGTTTATATGGGCATAATCGAGGAAGCTAAAGCACGTAAGCCAGTTACACCCACAACAACGCACTCTCTAGTTCAGTTACTGACAGTGACCAATTTTCAGCTTCACTTCGATGTGGCCACAGGATTCGAGCCTGATTAAGAATGGTGACAAAATCGGATTCGTCAGTCTGGCTACGACCGTTCAAATACAGTAATATCTTTTCCAGAAAAGAAACCTCCATCGAGGAGACAACTTTAGGGTCATGGGATTTTCCACTGTAATCCTTAGTTGACGAAACGAACCCCCAGAACAAAGAAGTAGGTACTCAGTTCCTTAAACGCCCGATTGACTTCCCAAGAGCCTCTATCGCCAGAAAAGTGCAGCTGAGTATTCAAGCCGGAAATGGGATTCACCGAAACTCAGGGGTTGTGTCCATCTAATGGGCCCGGAGAAAGCGAAATCAGCTGTGGGTTGTCACATTGTACGACCGTACGACTAGTGTTATGACAATGGGCAGAACTACACTAATTGCTGCGTTTGTAAGCGATGATTGGTACTGTGGGTCACCTTAAGAAAAACCCCTTCGCACGAAAGGTCAATTCCAATTTTAGAGAGAAGCGGCTCGAGAAGCATACGAACTATTTTTGTCAGTAATTGACCAAGTTAACGACACCACTAGGCAATCCGTTTGGTCCGAAAATACCAGACAGTTTTTTTTAGAATGGTCGAACGAATGGGATCGATCGGATAGCAACACTTCGTTGATGACAATTCATCAATAACCGAACCTGAAGATCCACGCATTCACAAACTTATGGATTCGAAATACCTGAGACAGAAAGGGAAGAACAACCGCCTATTTTTCGGACATCGTAAATACTGGCCATTGACAGCAAATACTGTAACGGTTTACCGCAACGCCAGATGCGTGGAAATCCACCGTGAACTCCCGGACTTTGCGACGGTTGTCTCTGAACATGGGTTTATTTGTCTTGTGCTGTTGAGCCGGGATAATCTTCAAGATGAATTTTTTCTCACAGGTCGATAACCTATCCATTGATTTTCTGGTTCGCTAGCTAACCTTCACCTTGGTCGTTCGAACATTTTTGCAGCAAGCACCATCTAACCATGTGTACACATTATAGTGGCGCAGCTATTGCAAATATTAAGCAGAATGATAGCATACCATAATTCGTGTAGGTTTGCTACGCAACCAAAAAGCTCCACTGTGCTGACTCGTTGAGCTCGACTCAAAACTCAGCAGTCCATTTAACAGCGTCCTTTACCCTAGAGAGATCGTTAATGGGACCGGATGAAATTGTATAAGATACCAATTTCGAAGATTGCCCCACCGGTTTCCACGCCCTCCGTTTTTTTCTCCGGTCTCTTGTATCCACCAAACCGGTTAAAAGCGTGTGTTATCAAAGGGGACCACAATAAACAATCAACCGATGACAAAGTCATAAACGGTGTTAATGGTTGTTTGGACGTTTTTGGATGTATTTGTTGAGCAACGAGTTATATACAGTGTAAACGAGCATACTGAGGATAGATGATGTTCAACTTCATGTCATGATGCGTTCAGACGTTCCAAAAAGAGTAAACACAATAAAATGAAGGAGTAGTCGCACACTGAATGAGTCATTATCATCATCGACAGTATGACATCAGTGTTCAACACCGATGCTTCACTGCCGTACAACCATGACTTATTTGAAAGCCTTATTGTAAAGAAAAGAATAAAGGTGGATGAGGAAGGGACTTAGTGCTAGCTTACAACAATCATTACGAGGTGCAT